CAGCGGCGCGGGGAGTGGAGCGTGCGTGTCTAACTGATTATTTTATCTAGAGTCCTTAGTTGCCCCCGCCAGAGCGTTTTAGGGAGCGTGTATTTTGCGTCTGGTGGAGGGCGGAGCGGCGTCCAGCGTTCATTTCAATTCAGTTTGTGTTTTAGAGAGTTATTGAAGCTGATGTATGGAAGTTAGTAGCTGTTACTTTTAAACGAGGATCTATTTTTTTTCAATATGTAGTCGAATATTGACACTGACATTCTTTTATACTCGTAGAATTTGTTTTCGTCTGATCGTAGCATAGTAGAAGTCAGGAAAGATGACGATTACGTCATCATTTTAGTCTGTAGTAAAGACAAACAACAGCGATTTGTGAATATTTTTAATGAAGTTCCAGATATGTTAGACAGAGACAAACAGAATTTTATTGTCTAAACAAACTGTATTGCTAACTTGCATGTGTCCTACAAAGATAGACGATGTTTTCATGTTGCATGGTCGATCATACTTGAAAGATGGATAATTAGGTTATGTTAAAGCAGGTTAGGTTGTTTCGAATAATATTTTGGTCTTTTGCGTTCCTGTCATAAGGTATTCTACTCATAACTGTTTTTCTTCAAAAAAAACACTCCCCACTAAAATTATTATTAAGGTATCACTCAAAACCATTAAATAAAACGAAAATAAAAATAATCAGTGAAATAACCCAATTTCGCAAAATCATAATATAAATTTGTTGTCATTATGTTCCTGACATCGTGATTTTATCATCGACGTACGTCTATTGATTACTTCAGTACAATTTATGGTATGACGTAATAGTCATCTTTCGTGATTTTGACTATATTTCATACAACGTAGAAAATTCTCGTGGTGTTTTTCTTTGCTTAATATGACTTGGACTTCCATTGCATAACAAGTCAAACTTAAAAACTGATTTTTCCTGTAAATATATGCATATCAAAAATGTCATATGAAGCCATGATGATTAAAATACGTGTATCAGAACTGAACGCTGACTGTTCACTGAGGCCAGACAAAGAACGCTCCTAGATACTAAACCTCCATGCTACACGCACCGCAGAAGCCAGTTTTTGCTCAGGCCCCACACTAACACTACATTCTCGAGTCCGAAAAACTATACCTCACTTGTATTTATAATCTATGAATGTGTGGAGGTTACGAAATTTTAAATGTGGATATTCTTGGAAGCAAGGCAGAAATGCTATCAGCTTGGTAATATTGTATATTCAATATCTTTAAATATTGCCAGCCATTTTTTGTACTTTCTTGTTGTCAAATAAAGTATTTTGTCACATTAATCATTAAGTGTCCAATTTTTGAATTACCTTATCTACTGAATGGTTCCTCCGAGCTGTAGATATTGCTGATACTACTATACTACGATTATACCTATTCCATATATTCTTAGAAATTATGTAAAATTGCATTGCTTCCTGTATTTTAATGGCTTATACGATTCTCAGAGTAGAAACCGTTCAAGAAACAATGTGTTTACTTAATATACTGTTTATAAGCAAATAGCAAAGATAATTGTTATCTGATAATTTTAGTCATTGTCCAGAGTGTCACAACTAGAATGTGGATGATCTCTGGTAGACAGTAAGTTTGTCAAGTGAAAGAAAACTACTGAATGTGTGAATCAAGGAATAAAATTATGTTCCTTACTATACTAGTTCCGACCTCTTCTACGAACGAATTGTATTTCTGAGTCTCTTCATGTCCTCTGTGAGTGGGTTCGCAAGAAGCAGTACCTTTTTAAGAAACTTAGACTAGAATCAAGGTTTTGCAGGAAACTATTCCAAATAGTATAGAATCAGAGACTGATAGGGTGGGTCCTGTAGACAAGGAAGTCCCAAGTACAATACCCTTAAAAATTTATAGTACCATGGATAATTTCGGTAGGGAGTCGGAAGAGCTCCCCAGTACGTAGTAGGGGAGTGCCACTTCAACTGCCTCCCGGGGGAAGGGGGGGGGGGGGTTATGTGGTGGAGTAAGGGGCTGGGGGTATTTAAATTTTGAGTCCTCTCAATAACCATCCTCTTAGCATCGAAAACGTATTGTTTAATAGAAATGCGTCGACGGAATGTATGGTTAGGTGCCTTGAAGTTTCGCTCTCCTCCTTGACCACCCAGCCGTCGCGACAGAAAGCAAAATATTATCGGACTATCCCCCGATTGCAGGCCATTTCTTAATAGGACAAGACAAAGTGGTCTTAATGTGCTTATCTTTTTAAACGATGTTGTTCAATCCATTATGGGAAGAAGCCTATTTTGTTTTTGTAAATACTGATGGAAAGCACAATGTTTAATTTGTCACACCATAGTTAACGTAAAGTCATCGAGTATTCACAGACATTATGTAGACAAACATTCTACCGATTATGATGACATTACTGGCGATGAAAGATGAGTGGGGATTGATGAATTAAGGTCAGCCCTTCAATGTTCTGAAGATGTGTACTTAGAGGCGATACTCAGAATTTCCACTTCTAAAACCATTGTACCAAATATTGGAAAATTTGTTGAATCGAAACGCTGTCAAAGATCATCTTAAGAATAAATGTGTTTGCGTCGAATTTATGTCCATTATTTTATCACCTGCGCGCTGACTTGATCATACCAATTCAATTGTCAGCACGAATGCCACTCCGCTCATTTTCCTTTGGGGTTGGGAGTCGGCGAGATTAAATCTAACCACATCGCGGATTCGACTAGACTCGATGATAATATGTAGTTTTTAAGTAAATGAAGAAAAAGGGCTTGGGGTGCATCCTGCTGAAAGTCCCTGTTATACCGACTTGAAGATACAACGTGACGGTAGAATTCTACGATAACTTATACGTATGGCATATTCGTTTTACATATACTTTCAAACATCTAGTAGCCATGTGTCAAACTGACAAACTCGAATGAGCTTTTGAATGCAAACATAAAGCAAACAAACAGGGGTATTATTTTTATCTACACCTATTTGCATTGGCTGCTCTAGCTTTCAGTTGGTACGACAGAAACGGCTGAAATAAGTTTTTCATTTCAAGTTTTTTCAAATAAGCCTAAAATTTCGTTTTAACGTATGTAGGCTTCATTGGATTCTACCAAGGCGGTGACATTCTTCTTTCACGCTTTATTTTCAAGTCGGTATGTTAGGTACTTTCGATAGCATACCGAGCTCTTCCTGTTCATTTACTTAAAAACTACATATTATTAGTAAATTTAGTCGAATCCGCGATGAAGTTCAGTGTGACCAGCTCCCGGGCCATCTCTATTCGCCGAGCGCTACGACTACCGTAAAACCTTTATCACAATGTTCGATGTGTATGCTACTGTCCCACCAAGCAGCCGAACAGTCAAACAGGTATAAATGCATTCATAGAAAGTATAATACTAATGAAATCGGACATCCAAAATACCGAGCGACAATTGACGCTGGAAATGGGCGAGCGGTGCTCCGGTGCTCGGCTCTGCACTTGTGGTACCCAAGTTGGAGAGGCCTGTGTTAAGCCATTGTTGTCCTCTCAATGACCATACCAATTGAAAACACCTCTAAGCGCTTCGAGCCCTATCAGCAACGTGTCGGATAATAGAAATGAATCGACGGAAGATGTGGTTGAATGTTCAATGAATTTGTCACATCAAACTATAACCAGAACAATGAATTCAATATACAGAAACAGCTGTCTGAGAATGATTATAAGAGAATAATCGAAGTAGGTGGGAGGATATTGAGAAAGATACACACTATTAAAGGCAAAAAACATGATGTGTACACTGAGGTGAAAAATAAAGTTGCTCTAGCACATCATGATGATAAAAGGTTTATTAATCCTAACACCACAAAACTTTACCTTGGGGACACTTTGACATTCAGTTTTACCAGACTGACCCCTCGTTGAATGTTAAATATACTGTAGGTGCAATCAATGATGTTGCAGAAGGCGCTTTCCCTTAAAATGATAATTTAGATATATTAATAAAATTAATGTTAGAGGAAGTTTGTAAGTATTAGATTTATGTTACTTCAAGCTCGCACAGGTAAGTAAAAGCAACAAGTAGTAAGAAAATGTGTTTTATTTTACATTACAAAAAACATTTATTCGGAATGAATAAGTCCATTTTGGATGGACCCATCAAAAGCATTGTAACTAATGTATGAGTCATGAATAACTAATGCATACACCTTGGTGTGGAATAGAAATGCAGATTTCCTGGTCTCAAATTCCAAAGATATGTCGACAGTTGAAAGTTGGAAATGATCAGACTGATTGCTGCAATCAATAACGAAAAGCGGATTGTCATTAAATTCCTTAATATTCATCATAGGTTCAGGAATGTTTCGGTTGTAAAATGTTTTTTGAAAGTTCTCAAATGCATAATAAGCTGCGGTGTTGAGCTTTTTTTCGAAATTCAAGATCCACCTTTCATATGGGAATAATTGGTTGTTCAACTTCAAACGAATTGAGTTAACGTTGGCATTTATGAATTTCGTTATATCCATCGAATGATTTTCTTCAGAGAAGAATCTTGAAATGCAATGATAGCGAATAGAGTTCTCTCTAGTTTACTGGTTGTTCTAATTGCCCAAACATCCGATAATGTAGAACGAAGAGATGGAAGCTCATAGAGATCCCAAGTTTGAAATGCTACCTTGATCCTTGAGCTTACATGTTTATTCAACCTTTGCAGAAGCTTGACTTTGTAACGATCTTCGGGAACGATGTGTTGAATCTTCCATTCAATCTTGGATATAGTCAATTCAGCATCACATTCACCTACATAACAGTTTTTGGAGAATCTTGCAATAACCAACAGAAGCTCTTGTTTTATACTTAGAATCCCCTTTTTGTAGTCTGTAGTCTCTAGTCCCAACCAGTACATAAAACTGTATGCATAGCACTTTTACTATGTGACACCATCGTTTTTATAGTTGAAGTTATCCCTGGATTCAGAACTCCATAAACATTTTCGCCACCGAAATTTCTTGAAACAAAAAGCCAAGGCATTGTTTGATAGGTAGCAGGGTTTCGTAGCGTCGCTAGGCGTAAATGTTCCTTCGACAAAAATATAACTATCAGCAATGTTTAAAATAAGATCTTAGAAGTTTATAGGGATGTGAACTATATCTGAATTCCTGAAATAAGGCGATCCATATGGTTTGTATGTGCATCCTTGTAAGCTGGCTAAGGAATGATTTATGATGGGTTCCTCAAAAACATCCAATTTCTCATTTGATACGTGTAGAACCATACTGTTTGATTAGTTTCAGCCCTATAGACGCCAGGAACACACGATTTTGCAGTGAAATATTCGATGCTGTGTCTTTGACGATGGTTGAACGACGAATAACGGAATTTCATTGGTTCTTCGTCTTTTATGATTAGTTGTGCGACCTTTTTCTACATTATTCAAATGATGTATATCTAGGTTATATAGAAATCCCATCATCTTCAGCTAATTTGACTATAATTCTTTCACCACGGAAATTGACCAAATTCCCGACGTCATCCAAAATTTCCAATGTGATGTTGTCAATAAACTTTCATCCACCCGGCTTAACGCTCATATATATTACATTCTGAGGCTCCTTTGCTGATTTAAATCCCGGTTTAACATCAATATCAAACTCATACAAAGTGGGCATTTCATTGCCACTGCAATAAACTCCTGATATTAATTCACAGTCGACTCTTATTATCCTGATGGGGGTTATGTTTACAGGTAAATTCGATGTGTAGATTGTGTTTCTAGCAAAAATTTTGTTCTTAAATCCAAGCAAAGTTGCCATGGAATTGGACAGAGCAATATCGAATACAGAATGGAGTTCACACTCCAAAGTATTAGTGTGTTGGTATCATTCATTATTTCATGTTGTATGTATTTATTGATATCTTCGATTTCATAAACACCTTCAGGAAGGGTTACCACATTATTCTTGTCGTCACCCTTGTGAGTAAGAGATATTTTATTATGCTGATCATCAATGTTCTATATGGTGTTGTACGAATAAAGGCCAATCAACCCCAGACTATATTCCGCACTTATATCCAACTCGATTGGTGGATAAAATTAGCAGACAGTTTGCTAGTGTAACGCGTTAGAGTAAATGTGTTAGACATGACTGAAGAGTTGATGAATGGCCTTATATAGGTAAACAAAACTAAAAGAGCTCAAATTCCTTTTTCTTCTTGGTTGCCTGCTGCTATAGCAGCCCCGACTCCTGTGTCTTCATTAGTTATTAATTGGTTACAACAGTTGTTTGATTCAGATGTATTTTTAACATTGATATCTTGCATGTTACAATAACAACAAAATATTTGTCTTGGTGGCGGTCCATCTGCTTCATCATCACTCCTGCTTATTCCATGATGTTCCCAGCAGAATTGGAATTGCTGTATATCACCGTCCTCCTTCAAATGCTCCGGTAGTTTGTTCCGTACATACGCTATTTCATTTGGCGTGCAGCATATGAGCACCTCTTTCGGTATGTGTGCAAGTTCATCTCGCGTCATATTCAACGGGCTTCTCTCCGTTGAAGAGGCTTTAAGAGAGTCTCTATTCTTTTTCAATCCTTCATGATCTTCTTCAGCATTCTGATGTGCTTCAGATAGAAATCACAGACACAAATGACCACACCAAAACGTATTGAACTGTTGTTGTCGATTATAATTGTACAAGATTTTTATCTTTTTCGACTTGTTGGTCAAATATTTGATTATCTCCTTGGGTGGGGGTAGATTGCCAAAACTATCATAGTACCATACAACCATGCCACGTTTTATATATGAAACCCAATGTGACCCATCCCCACTCTTGTTATCTAAATTAGTTATGGCCGATTCATTCTTCAGCGGACCCTGCTCGGACATTTCATCGCGCATAAATACTCTTTTGAAATATGATATTTTTACTAGCTTCCTAGCATAATAGATTAGATCTATATTTGTTAGCGGTCGAGGGGGAAGGGTTTTCAATAGTTTTTTGAATTCCTTAACGTGATGAATAACCCCAATCCTTTACGGTATGGCTTCAGAAAGAGACTATCCCCAATTCGATTCACATTGGAAGAAGGTGCTGAAGTGGTTTTATTTTAAATTTGCTCACGCACTCAGCTAGCTGTTTTGGTAGCTCTTGTTATGTTGGCAATACCCCCAGCTAGACTACCTAATGCTGGAAGACTGGCAAAAATTGGTATCAAAGGAATGGGTATAACTCGTGGAAGCTGAATCAGCCGTTTTTAACCGATGGATCTGATATGCTTCCGGGCAGCAAGTAATGCAGCGGAAGTCGCCTTTGCTAATACTCTCTTGTCGGGTTTACAGTTTGAAAACCTTTTCATGTGTTTGCATACTTTATTCACTATCCCCGATCCAAAATGTACATTTTTCTGTGATCTACTTGATTTTCTAGGGATAGCTTTTCTTCCTTTAGGTACACGTCGTAATGCATGACCTCCGATATCTATACGACGTTTGACTTTCATAATACTCGATTTTCTGCGGATGTATTTTCTTCTACTCCGTCCAGGACATGGTGCTAGACCCATTCCTGAGTGACGTTTTACTTTCAATGATGTTAGTAACTAACCGAGTGGCAGCTTCTACTCCAAGTTTTGCGTCTCGAGATTTGACTCTTTTCTAAGCTTCTTGCTCAAGTTGATAATCAGCAACGTGTCTCGCTGTCAAATCAGATTTCTGATATGCAATATCGTGCTGTAAACATGCAGCGTCTAATTTATTAACGTCTTTCTGACCTAGGGCTAACCTTTTTGAAGACGTGTCCCTTGACCACAGAACTGGGACTGGGGTATCAATTGCTTTTAAAGTAATCTGCAGTGTTGCCAAATCGGAAAGAACGGAATCGGTAAATAGTGTCGTTGAGTTCGGTATAAGGTAAATGTCGTCTCAATATCAGTGGTAGATCAAGGACCTTTGAGTCATGAAAAACGTCTGTTATTGTATTGGACGCGCACACAACATGCTTTTTGAGGGCATAGTTCTATATTACAACTTCTACAATGTGCATACTGGTTGCTCTTTCAAAGAACTTTACTAAGGCCCGTATCGTCAGTCATCCCTACAATTGTAGGGCGCCTTTATGGCCTTCTTGATTGTCATAGTTTTCTGCTTCTCCGTGTCAGAACTCTGTTTTGAGGTTATGTCACAAACATCTATTTGCATCAAATTGTGCTAGCTTTTGAGTTGTATCATGTTTTATCAGCCTGAAATTTCCTACAATTTAAAAAGAAAACATATCTTCACAATAGGAGAGCGCTGACGCTGACACGAGACAAGTGTAATCTAGAAATTTTTGAAGGAGAGAAAGGAGGATGACAATCAAGGAGGCCATAAACGCGCCTTATAATTTTCTGTTTTAACTCACCTCTCATTTTAATTAAATATTTATTTTGAAAACAGTCAGGTTTCGGTTTCTTTATTGCTTGTCCGGTGATGAGGTAATGACGGTAACCTACCAGTCTGTACCTTTTGTATGCACAAAAATCAATTCTGGGCAAGCGGAGTAAGGGATGAGGATGTGCGTTCGTAATCAGCTTTATTTTTGGTTTCAGCTCTTTTTCGGCAAGTATGGAAATATTTAAATTTTTTTGAAAAATCGTGGAGAATGATGTTATCGGTAAATATTATCTTTTCGGTAAAAATACCGAAAATCCGGTTCAAGTCCATGCATAGACATTCTGAAATTTGCAATATGAATTTATATCCTACATTCTATGCATATCCGTTCATATTCGTCAATACTTCATTTGAAGCCTTTCTTGGTCAAGATTTTATCAAAATGTAAGATAGTAAAGGCAGCACCGTACCCTGCAGCCCAGTTGACAAGATCGACAAGCTGTCAAGATTAGGGATGTTTAGATCCACGAAGAGTATCGTTATGTATCGATTCTTATCGTTTTAGGAAGTATCGATACTCTAAAATATTGGAATAAAATTATCGATATCCAGCGGAAGGAAACAAAGAAGAACAGTAATTTGAAGTTAGTCACTCTTTCTGACACAGTCCGGATCGAAAGATGACGATACTCGTGAAATGTATCGATACACCCAAGTGTCGTATATAAAAATATCAATCCAAAATAACGGGTATTGGAAGCAAAAGTATCGATACTTCTAAATATAGGATCGTATCGAACATCCCTACTGTCAAGATGTATCACCCGAGGTACCGACGCAGCTATTTTGGGGCGTCATTGAAATAATTTTAAATTTTCATTTGCATTTTTTCAAGTGTTGTGCAACGATTTTGAGAAAAATGTCGCACCCTCAAAAATGATCGCTGACAACCACACAAGTCACCGTGATGTCATTGAATAGCATGGAATTAAACCTTCTTCAGTGTATGTGTTTTGTGACTGGCACCAAGGGTTGACGGATCCCACACATGTGTCACCTTTTGGGGAGCTTTGAAATAATCAACTGTTATTCAAATAATGTCTAATTATATAAGCTAGAATGTGTACTCGTGAAAAAAGAAAAATATTGCAAATTTCTAGTTTTTTTGCAGGTTTTAGGTTTGCTGGTAGCTCTACGACATATACTTGGGAATTTCTTAATCACTGTAAATATAGTGTGGATGTTAGTTCAGTTCCTGAACAATGAAAAATATTCAACTTTATGGATATATGGATATCAAAAAACTTTAATGATTTTGTGGGAATATCAATCTAAGGTGCCATAATGGTTCTGATGAACGGCAAGTCGGAATGTCCGGGTGGAGGGTGGGCTCGAGGAACAACATCGAAGGTAAAATTTGTTTTTCGAACATCTGCGGGGTTAACAGCAACATTGATGCTGTTCATCACTACCTGCAATTCAATCGTCCCGCCGTGCTTTTCTTGGCGGAGACAAAAATCTCAGAGACTGCACCGATTAACCATCTCAACTTCCCAAACTACGAGGTGTACTCCAATCTGAGAAAGATCGGGGGAGTGGTGGCTTTTGTCCGCAGCAGTCTTTCCTACTCCAGGGATCTTTCTTTGGAATCAGACCGGAAGGACATTCTGTGGCTTCGCCTTGACTCCAAAACATCACCCAAATTTATTTGCTGCCTTTATCGTTCTTCCTTGAACCATAACTGGGATGAGCTACTCGAATACCTCGCCGTCCAGATCGACTTCCTGAACATCAATCACCACCCTTCAGAGGTAGTTCTTCTCGGTGATTTCAATGCACATAATGAGCTTTGGTTGGGCTCAAATAAGACCGATG